TCCGGAGAATTTCTTATCTAACTCGTATCTCTTACGGTGTATCGTGCAGGAATGAACCGCCGGAATCACAACCGGCGTGACGTTCACGCATGGACGGCGTGCCCCGCTTGGAAGCCCCCATTGACGTCATCACGGACAACAAATGATACGCTTCAAATCTCACTGCTTTTGTGTGTGTGATTGATCATTGTAATCCTTCGATTGTTCTCTTGTTCAGAAAGCTTTGGTTCTGGAGCAGTCGTGCTTTATTTGTGAGACAGCGCTGTCGCCACACCGTCAGTTTTTCAATTAGTAATGTTCGTGCAAGCTTGACGGCGTGGCCGGCCAATCAAAGGCGTGCATTATTTTAGCTCAGGTTGTCGCAGCTTGCTCTATCTCGTCAATCGACTTTCGGTAGTCTGATCAAACGCTGACGTCAAGACAAAATGTCGACACTGAGTTGAAACTGGCGGAAAAATCATAATATCTATCGTGTTGCCTAAACTAAACAGTGGGTGAAACACGGTGTAGAAATTCGGATCGGGAAGCCCTGGAAGATAATGTTTCGTATCTAAACTAACATCGCACGCAATCAATCAATCAATCATTGAATCATTCGAAAGGTCACTCTAAAATGCATCGGAACGCTTCCACTTTGTAAAAGAATAATAATTACGGGAAAAAATTTCCATAAATTTAAATTCTTGACATTTTCACTAAAAATTCACCTCTAAGGTTCACAAAACGCTGAGTTAGCGTTTTCTTGATTGTTGCACTTTCATTTGCGAGAATCTTCTGCAATATCTGTTTATCTATATACAGAATTGTTTGTTTTTGTTTTCATTACGAAAGCAGAAGATCATTTTACGGTAGTTTCGAAACTGGAATATGTTTGCCCTTTTACCATGCTAACGAAGTAAAAGATTTTTCATTTTTTTTTTTAAAGACATTACCATCCCTCTCGAAGAATTACGTCCGATGCAGTCTTTTAGTCCCTGAACGATATACACATCTAAGGGGACTTAAACTGTGTTTGTCGTTTTTAATTTGTGTCAGTCTTCTCTCATTTCTGACCATTCTTGCCCCTTTTTGGTTTATCTTAATCTCTTCAATGTTTTTAGCGTAGCAAATCATTCTTTCAAGGTGCATCGTTTCCAAAATGGTGGTACATAGCTTTCTTTAATTAAAGGGGTTTCAACCTACTATCTGATGAATTTTTACGGAGCATAGCTTCAGAACCGACCTCTTTCTCCTATAAACTCTGTTGCTGTAGTTCTAATATAAATTTCGGTCCAGAAAGGAGGACGCAGTACCGATTTGTTAAATGGAATTTGCTACATTGCTTCTCACGCAAACGGCTGAGTCATGCTGCCATCATAATCGAATCAATCATCTTCAGGGCTCTTATTTCATTAGCTCGGCCAGGTAGACAGTTGATTTTTTCAAAAAAGGCCGAAACGCATGTTCGATAAAAGATGTGAGATCGTTTAAAAGTACGCACTGTCAACATTCGGGTATGTTATTTCTCTGCATCGCAGCTTTAAACATATCGGAACTGGACGAAAAATTCATGATTGGAACAACTGAATGAAAAGAATCTATGTGTAGCAAGTAGCTCAGAAATATTAAGAATTTTAATACGATAAACTCTCACACCTTTCCCCCGAGGAAAAGAAACAAACATTGAAAGACATTTGCTAAAGAACAAAAAAGACTTTTTAGCAAAATTAGTAAAGATTTATAATTGTCTACCCCTTTGTAACGTTTGAAGGGGTTTTGATATTTGCAACAAAAATCTTCTTCAGTCTCGCCTGCTGAAATTTCTAGACATTACGTCCAACACTTTCCGTTTTTGTCAAATCTATCATAGGCACGAGATTGCCTTTGGCTGTTGTTCGCTAAAAATTGGGCTTTTGACGGTCATCGAGTAAATATTTGGACCATCGAGATCTACTGCGGACATTTTTGAAGATGCAGGTCCAAACTGGTGTAAATGAAAGTTAATAATCCCTTTGGGAAACATCAATTGTTCCTACACCATAAAATTAATGACAGCTAATGTATCTCGACATTGACCGGAAACGTTTCGAAATAAGATTAACCGGTAGAATATTTGCAATAGTGGAAACTTGGTGAAATTTTTCTCGACGGAATTGAAACCTGGGGTGAATAGTTGGATACTGACAATCCAATAGGAATCATCAACTATTCGTACTCAATAAAATAAATGAGCAGGTAATGAATTTCAACACCGGCCGGAAGTGTTTCTGAACGGAAAGGTAAAACGGATCCTACCCTCACAACTGCTAAAGATTAAGATGAAGAAGTTGCCGCGGTAGAGAAGTGATAAATGAACAACTTATAAAGAAGAGGGAAGCTAGTTACCTTCTTGACTACCAATCTCCATGCTGATACATTTACCGCTAAACTATACATACCTCTCTACTCTTTCACCACTACTGAAAACAAAACAGGAACCCAGAAACCTGTGAAAATAAATCAGTTTATTGCATTGTCCTTCCCAAAGCATTTCATAATACTAACTAAAGATCGTACATCTAAAAAACTAGCTCGAGGATTGTTAGTTAAGCAAAGAAGAAGAAGTACAATCTAGTCAAATAAAGATCAGTGAAAGGAAATACATTAGATCATTCCAGAAAAAAATACCATAATAGTCTTTTAGGCGTCTTACGCTGCCTCGATTAATCAAATGCTCTTTGTTAGAATGGCACGTTGGAATTCAGAGTGTACTTTGGAATGCTAAAGCGTCGCGACGCATGGCCAAAGATTTTTTAACAAATGAAGACCATAAGCATGTATTTCAACACCGGCCGGAAGTGTTTCTGAACGGAACGGTAAAACGGATCCTACCCTCACAACTGCTAAAGATTAAGATGAAGCAAATCGCTAGTATAGAAGGCCTCCGAGTTAGAAACTTCGAGGAGTTCACTATATTTTAGCTTACGTAAACTTTGTTGTTGAGGAGTATATGCAAATGATTAGCAAGTGCAAACTGGCACGGGCATTTCGTGCTGAGAACAAAAGACAGGAAAAATCTGGCCAATATCAGATGTACCACCTAGGACTGCATCATTAAGAGTATTACTTTATTTTTCCTGAGTGGATTATTGAACATGGAAAAAATGTTCTGTCCCTCCAGTACTTCCGAATATTTATTAGTCTCGTGTCTACAAATCTATTTCATGCCGGTCAGAAATGCTGTTCACTCGAGCTGGTTTGTATTACAGAGAATTAATGACTTTCAACAACGTTTCCAAAACACGTTTTCAGCTTTGCGCCCTCGAAAAAGAAATATTGTTTACCGTTAGCGCTACCCTTGAAATTTTCATTTAGTAACAGTTTTTCGAGCTTCAAGCGCGTTTAAGGTAGTGAAAGCTTTATCCCTTACCTGAAGTGAATTTGTCTTGTACGTGACCGGGTTATCTTGCAATGGCGACTCAGGAAATTTACTGTAGTACTTATCAATATACAAGATTTAGGTAGTGTCATGTAAGCCTGGCCTTTGCAATATCAGCATGAACTGCACGTGCTGTCATCCGGCTCTCGCTAATTTGCATACTCAAGGTTTTTATACGATAACAGTGTGCTTCGTTCTAGCTTTCCTCCATTCCGTCTATATTACGCCGCTCGGTGAAAACTGAGAACGATAGTGTCTGATTTTCCAGCCTTACTTGAAAAAGTATCTTTTTTTCTTTCCACGCTACACTTGAATGCACCTTACGCATGCGCATAAGAGCCTACCTGTCCCGCCGAAAATAAAAAATCGTTGCCAGGAATAATCACAGTTCCTCTAATTCCTCGCGGGCGGAAAACTAAGTCGAGGTCCTCGCTTCCTCCCCGTGGGGGGATGTGGCCTTTGGGAACGAATTGGCTGAAGAGTATTAATCGAGGAAAGCTGTTTTTTTAAAACTCTTTCTCGTCCACTCCGACAGCAATCCATTTCCGGTTAGTCAGTCAGTCAGTCAGTCAGTCAATCCGTCGGCCGGTTAGTCAGTCAGTCAGTCAGTCAGTCAGTCAATCCGTCAGTCAGTCAATCCGTCTGTCAGCCAGTCAGTCAGTCAATAGGAACCTTAAGAAACCACGACGGCGACGGCAACGAGGACGTGGAAAAAAAAGACATCTAATTGGCAGAACAATAGTTCAGCACGTGCATTTTGAAACTTTGAACATTTCTTGGCTGTCCTATGCAAAACAACAACGTGAAATCGCCAAAATTTGCGCCGTCTGCGAACCGAAACCTCGACGGCAAATTATTTTAATTTCCATTTCGAACTCAAAGGCTACTTTATACGTCATGCTAAAGTTGAGCTGTGGCGCTGTAGGAGACAGTAAGCTCCTGCAGCCATTTTTTAAATTCTAACTAAGAGTAGAAATTCATTTTTTAATCGAAGTCTTCCTTGGCGTCGCCGTCGTGGTTTCTTAAAGTCCCTAATTAATCAGTCAGTCAGGCAGTAAGTCAATCATTCTCTCAGTCTGACAGTTAGTCAGTCAGTCATTCGTCAACCATTCACTCAGTCAGACAGTTAGTCAGTCAGTCANNNNTTTTTTTTAATAAAGGAGCAAATATATTTAATAATTGTGCATGAATCTTGTTCCAATCCTGTTCTCTTTTGTATGTTCATATTTTTAGATTCTTATATAGTTTTTTTAATTTTTTGCGTACTTTCTCTTTTATTTTATTAGTTAATCACTTCTTCATTGTACGCAAGACCCATGTTTAGTAGCAGTTTTTAGAACTGAAATGGTCATCCTGCATAAGTTTTTTTATCATTATCGTCATCATCATCATCATCACCACCACCACCACCAACACCATCATCATCATCATCATCGTTATTATTATTATTATTATTATTATTATTATTATTATTATTATTATTATTATTATTATTATGAAGACAGTCAGGCAGCCAGTCAAATTGTAAGTTAGCCGGTGCATCGGCCGGTTAATCCGCACGTCGATCACTCAGTACCCTTCACGCAAGAAAGAGAGGTGTAAACATTTCTTCTAAAGCTTTATTTTCACATCGTAAATGCAGCTTTGTAACTGCTTGTAACTGCGTGCTACAGATCGAACCAACACTGCATTACATCTGACTTCAAGAGGACAAAAGTACAAATTTTTTACTTAAACGAATAATTAGTGGGTAAATACCGAATACATCCTGTGATATAAATAATTACACACTCGGGTAAAATGTCATAATCCTTTCGATTCCACAGCACGTATACCAAGTATCGCATACAATTTGCCTGTGGTCCAATCATACGGACTTTTGACGCAATGGAACAATCTTATACGCACTGCCTCGACGGGACCACAGATACCAAACAACTCACACGTGGCGCCAGTTCCTGAACTACTCAAAGAGTGAAGTAAAGCAAAATCAAAGTGATCTCGAATTACTCTGGACACTAAGGAAATTCGCTTCCAAAATAATGAAATCACATTATACTAATGGTAATGTTGTGGTGTTGTTATTCATTCAGGTTGGGAAGCGTTGAATTACTTTCAGTTTTCAATGTCGTTGGTTTTCCAACCAAAGAAATACATATAGTTTACGGAATTTATCAAAATTGGGCTGCTGTTCAGCAGTTAAAACAAGGGCTCCCAATTAAATTTAAATAGAACTGTCGTCTAATTAAATTAAATAAACCCCCACAGACTTGTTAGAACGTTTGAAGTATTACGGGTGCAACATTTCGTATGACACAAATTTACAAAAATAAAAACATTTCAGAACACGCTTGTAAGAAAGTTCAAGTGTCTTCCGCTAAAGACGCCACCCCACCACTAACATCCGGGTCTCTCTGCTCAGTTGTAATTAGTCCTTGAAGAAGTATCTTGTATTGGGTTGTTACGTCACTCTTAACTGTCAACTGTAATAAAAAAAAAAGTTGGGCGAAATAGGGTTAGTTTGCATAGTGATACAGGCGCGCTGAAAATATCACCATTCTCGCTTCCCGCTAAGTATATCAAGAATGGTTACGATTTCCAGATGCTCGAGTTTGCAGGGAGGGGTGGGAAGGGACTCGATCAACCCTTAAATTGTCATCATTTTTCACACTTTACTCGTGATTGTATCCAGCCTAAAGTATTCGTTATTATTAAATAAGGTCTATACTTTTATATACTTAATGTCGTAGTTAGGAACCGTTCAAAGCCATTTTCAACACGCGGAAGCCAACTAATGTCCTATTGATCGTCACTTTGTTTGAATCCGTTTTGTGGAAATGATTTATTTTCTTGGAAATAGCGCCCCGATGTCAAAAGTGTGAGTATATTTCTAATTCTTCCAAGGGTACTGAACAACGCAACTGTTCTTCATTCCCATCCCTCAGTCCTCTGCCTGACTAAGAAGTCCCTCGCTCGACCTACCTAGCAGTAGCCCGAAAAACTGACAGCTCAAAGTAAAGCATTTTATAGAGTGCCTCAGCGTTCAGACTCCAAGCGAAACAACCACTTAACTACATGAGGTGCATACATTTCTCGACACTTAAATTTCGCGATTTGGCGAAAATGGTGTGTCCTGAATCATTTCTTGAGTAAGACATAACCACGAGGAACAAGCCAAGTCTTAAGACAATGAACGTGACCAAAACTGAAAAGACCACACGATAAACTTACCATAGTACTGGTATTAACAGGTTCATTGGGCTGTGACAAACAGAAACGAAAATATACTGTTAGCCTAATAAGAGGACAAGCGAGGGTCTGATAGCAAGGGTTTCAATAACTTTTTCCATTGGCGGCAGCCGATGATTCAATTGGCAGTTGCAAGGCAAAACCCAAACACGAGGAATGCTCGCAGGCTCAACGGACGCCTGTGAGAGGTCTAAGAGATGGCATAGACGGCTGGAAACCGACGTTTATAAAAACTCTGCTGAAAGCTGAAGCCGCTGGAATACAGTTCGAAAGGTTTGGGTTTGAGTCCTGGTCTAGCTCCTTGTGCTGTATTTCAAGGCTAGATACCCGACTTTCACAATGGTTCTGTCCACCTGGGGGTATGAGTGGGACTGGGTACCGGACAATTATCTAGGAAACCTAAAAAAGAGCTGGGGGAGGGGAGGGTTGGGGTACCAGCACTGAAGTTGCATCTTATCCAAAGGGAGCAGTTATACTCTAGTCCTAGTCTTAATCAGCATACGTTCAACTAGTGTGGACAACTTGGCGTGTCAGTGAGACTTAATTTTTTTACGACACAAGTAGTTAGCATCAAATGTGTTCCATCTGTGTTGTTACGACACAAGTAGTTAGCATCAAATATGTTCCATCTGTGTTGTTATGACACAAGTAGTTAGCGTCAAATATGTTTCAACTTGTGTTGTTATCGTACAGTTTTTGAGGAGGCGAGGCCGTTAGACTTTACTATCATTATGTCTCCTTCTCGGGACCGCTATATTTGGAGCGGGCTCTTATCTTTCATTTTAAGTTCTCGGGAATAAAAAGCTTCATCTTAGCTGTGAAGCCAGACGTACAGGAACAAGACTTTTTATACTCGAGACCAAAAATGGTCGCCTCACGCGAAAGGGTTATTTACCGAATACACTATTCTGAAGAAATGAAAACGAGTGAAAGCTCAAAGCCCTTGATATGAAATGTGATAACATTCATTTTCACGCGAAAAGTTTTGCAATTAACCTTATTTTGAAGAAGAAAGGTTTTTAGAAACAGAAAAGGCACAGCATATTTCAAGCAAGAGATTATCTCCTTCAAAAGATGACGTGCCCCCTTAAGAGTGGAAATAAAACACAGTAAAGAATACTCACGTCATGCCCTGCTGGCGGTTGCCACCGAAACACAATGTTCTTTTTAACTCCAATATCAACTCCTGCCTTTAAATATATAAATAAATCAATCACTAAATAATATAAAAAAGAAATGTAAAGCAAGTTAGACCTTCGTAGAACGAAATTAACTAGGGCAACGCTCATACTCCGAAAAGAAAAGAAATTGAAAATTGACAAAGGACGAAAAATAACTGTCTAAGCGACTGTATGGTGGCCCATTGTTATCACAGGAAAATCAGCAAGAAATGCTTCTTTTATTTAAAGCAATTTAAAATAAGAATAAAAATTAAAAATAAAAACAATGAAAGAACAAACAGGATTTAAAAAAAACAGAAAACACAGGAATAAAAAGTAAGAATAAAATAAAAAAATTAAAAATAACCACACCATTTTATAAAATAAAAATATTAAGAACAGACAAGAAATTTAAGTTAAAAATTAAACATTAAGAATAAAAAAGAAAGAAAAAAAAGAAAAAGGAAAAAAAAATTAAAATTGAATACAAGTTAAAATTAAATGAAAACAAGTTTAAAAAGCAAGAGCAAAAAAACCTAAGCATAAATGCAAATAAATTTTAAATTTACTATGATAACGCTGGGCCGAAGTGAACATCACGATTTTCGTTTTCAAAATGAAATGAAATGTTGCCAGGCGGCCCATTGTTATCATAGCCTGCGACACGTAAGGTCATTGGACAACCTTATTCCCACGGCTCTCTTCTTCGACCTTCTCAAAATGGCGGCGGGTCGCATTCGTGCTCAGACTGGGAGAAGGACAAGCATTTGAAGAGTTATCTTGAGCGTTTTGTGCTAGCCAATTATTCCAGGAAAGAAACACCGGATTTATCTAGTCGGGAATACCCTGAATATGCATGGAGTCTGCCCACACTTCGTAGGAGATTGAAGTCATTATTAGAGGTGAACAGGTTGTCTTTTGTTGGTGGTATCGTGGAAGTGGCATTATCCAAGAAAAGAAATTAAAGTTCAATTTTGCAGAATGTGATGTGACAACCGTTCAAAGAGCCAAAATGAAGCCATGAAATGCATGTCCCTTGCATCCCCTTCATGTCCAGTGTTGGCCTTACTTAATACTGAAGACTTAAGTAAAATAAAAATCCCCAACCGATGGGTACAAACACTTTAAAACAATGCACAATAAGTAAAGTCCCCACGAGGGGGCAGGTGAAAACTGCATAACGGCAGTACTGCCAGTTTAGTATTTTTCTTTACGTGTTTCCAAGAGAGTAGTTTCGGGGTACCCGCTAAGAGCCTTCAAATTCCCAAGATCTTACCAATGAAGTGATGGTTCCTGTAGCTCTCCTTTGTCGTTTCTTTTGACCAAGATTCCCTCGCCTCTCCAGCCCTTTGAGGTCACCATACCCATCACGTCATAGACCAAATTACGAGGAATAGCCCATTTATGTTGTTCCCGAAGTTTTCTCTGCAAGGTACGATATCCAAGGTACTGCCCTGGACCTTCCATTTCCTCTTGTACAGCTTTCTTGACATATTCTATGCTGGTTTCATAACGAATATACTTGATGCCGAAAAAAATCAATCTCCAACTAAGTGCAGGCAGACTCCATGCATATTCAGGGTATTCCCGACTAGATAAATCCGGTGCTTCTTTCCTGTAATAATTGGCTAGCACATAGCGCTCAAGATCACTCTTCAAATGCTCGTCCCTCTCCCAGTCTGAGCAACGAATGCGATCCGCCGCCATTTTGAGAGAGTGAAAGAAGAGAGACCTGGGAATGAGGTTGTCCACTGACCTTACCTGTCGCAAGCTATGATAGCAATGTGCCGCCTGGCAACATTTCATTTTGAAAACGAAAATCGTGATATTCACTTCGGCCCAACGTTATCATAGTAAATTCAAAATTTATTTGTATTTATACTTAGGTTTTTTTTTAGCTCTTGCTTTTAAAATTTGTTTTCATTTAATTTTAATTTTTTTCCTTTTTCTTTTGTTTCTTTCTTTTTTATTTTTAATGCTTTATTTTTAACTTAAATTTTTTGTCTGTTCTTAATATCTTTATTTTATAAAATGATGTGGTTATTTTTAATTTTTTAATTTTATTCTTATTTTTTATTCCTGTGTTTTCTGTTTTTTTTTTTTTTACTCTTGTTTGTTCTTTGATTGTTTTTATTTTAAATTTTGATTCTTATTTTGTATCTTTTTAAATAAAAGAAGCATTTCTTGCTGATTTTCCTATGATAACAATGGGCCACCATACGACTGTTCTCAGACAGTGACGTAAGTGTCGACGATCAAAGAGGAGGTGATCCTCTAAGTCATGTGAAGAATTGTTGGACAACCAAATGCTTTAAGTCTAGTCAGTGGAAACAATAACACAACGACAAACAAAAAAGACAAACCTTTTGAGGCTCAAAGGTGAATCCCAGTTCGTTAGCTTCCTTGGGATTGTCGAAATAAAAGTCACTTGACTGAACAGAAAACAAACACCAAAATTAGTAACAGAAAAATGCTACGGTTTTCTAGGGCGCATTTAAGGATAAAATTTTCATGTACCTTTTTCGTTTGTATACTGGACTTAATACAGCCAATTTCTACTGCTCTTTCCACAGCCTTAAATCCATCAGGGGTTGATACGCTCTTCATTGTTAACAAAACTGTCTTCTGGATTGCTTTTACCTCTGGAAGAAAAGTGGTGGCATTGACGTTGTCAAAGCGGTTAAAGGAGAGCAATTCATGTGGAGATATACTCAAACGCACCTAACAACACAGTAGGTGACTTTTATCGACAAGGGCGGGGTACGTGCATTTCTAAATGTTCGCACGGACAAAACACGCGTAGGTCTTGGTGCGAAACACCAATACCCTTAGAACGGGAACGGGAACGGGAACGGGAACGGGAACGGGAACGGGAACGGGAACGGGAACGGGAACGGGAACGGGAACGGGAACGGGAACGGGAACGGGAACGGGAACGGGAACGGGAACGGGAACGGGAACGGGAACGGGAACGGGAACGGGAACGGGAACGGGAACGGGAACGGGAACGGGAACGGGAA